TGACCACCCCCTGGCCCAGCCTTGGACCTGTAAGCATATCCCCACTCCTTTGCAGGCCCAGAGGTGGAGCACGTCAACCCCTCCACTGTCAGCCCCGGGGAGGACCCCTGTCTCCAACCCTCAGCGCACCTGCCCGCGGAGGGCTCACCTGGGACATCTGGGGGCGCAGGTTGACCTCACGCAGGTTGATGGCATGGGGTAGCAGGTTGTTAAGCAGCTGACATAGAAGGACACCATCCCGGAGGGCCTGGGCCAGTTCACACACCTGAGCCCCATCCCAGGTCACGCGGTGGCTGGGCGGCAGCACTCGGCACTGGATGAGCCAGTGGGTGCACTGGCGCCACAGCTCCATGGCTGCTGCCTGCTCAGGGCCGGTCGTGCACCCTCGCGGCCTCCACCACCCACCCGCCCGCACGCCCGCCCTGCTCGCCTGTGGAGCGACAGCTAGTGCTACCACTTCCTCTTCTTTGCCTGTAACTGTTGCCCTGAGAGGGGGTGGAGGAGGAGGAGCCATGGGGCGGGGGGCGGGGGGGGGGAGCTAGGGGAGCACCTGCGGCCCAGCCCCACCCCACCCCTTCCATGCAGAATCTGACATCTCTTTCTTCCGCCCACTCGACACAGGCCTGGGCACGGGGAGTTGGGGGGCTGGGGGAGTCAGGCCAGCTAGACTATGAGATGGGCGTGCTTCCTCCATATGCAGACAGCGGCAGTGACACTCTGAAATATACCCAGAATTCACCCACTTCTCACCCCCTTCTCGGTCTGGTCCAGCCCCATCATCACTCAGCTGGTCTCCTGACTCCAGCCCCTGTCCCCCACAGTCTGTCTTCCCTGCAGCCACCACAAGAGGTTGCCTGTGAGCATCTGAGTCACGGTACACCCCTCTTCTGCCCACAACTCTCTATGGCTCCCACTTTCCTCCAGGGACAAGCCCAAGTCCTCCCCAAGGCCCACAAAACCCTGCTTGAATTGCCCAGTTCCGTCCCTGCCCTCCCCACTCCCTCTTTCCCCCTCTTCACTGTGCTTCCGCCACATAGGCCTCTTCACTCTTCCTCCAACGTGCCAGGAACATATGGCCCTGCCCCAGGGCCTTTGCATGGGCTGTGTCCTCCACCTTAAGCAACTTCACAGCTAGCTCCCTCACCCCTACAGGTCTTTGCTCAAATGCTACCTTCTCATGAGGTCTTCCTAAACCCCTTGATTTCAAATCACAGCCTTTTCCACATTCCATCAGCCCTACCCACTTCCCTAGGTTAAGCCTGATCTTCATCCAACAAATCTGATTTTTTTATAGTTATTTCTTCTTTTTTTCCTTCCTTCCCTTCTCTCCCTTCCTTCCTTTCTCTCCCTTCCTTCCTTCCTTTCTCTCTCTCTCTCTTCCTTTCTTCCTTCCTTTCTCTCTTCCTTTCTTTTCTTTCTTTCTTTCTTTCTTTTCTTTTCTTTTCTTTTCTTTCTTTTTCTTTTTTTCCTTTTGAGACTGAGTTTCACTCTCATTGCCCAGGCTGGAGTGCAGTGGCACAATCTCAGCTCACCACAACCTCCGTCTCCTGGGCTCAAGCGATTCTCCTGTCTCAGCTTCCCAAGTAGCTGAGATTACAGGCATGCGTCACCACACCCAGCTAATTTTGTATTTTTAGTAGAGACGGGGTTTCTCCATGTTGGTCAGGCTGGTCTCGAACTCCTGACCTCAGGTGATCCACCTGCCTCAGCCTCCCAAAGTGCTGGGATTACAGGCGTGAGCCACCATGCCCTGTCTGTCTGTCTGTCTTTCTCTTTCCTTCTTTCTTTCTTTCTTTTTCTTTCTTTCTCTCTTTCTCTTTCTCTCTTTCTCTGTTTCTCTCTCCCTCTCTTTCTCTCTCTCTCTCTCCTTCTTTCTCCTTCCCTTCCTTCCTTCCTTCCTTCCTTCTTTCTTTCTTTCTTTCTTTCTCTTTTTTGACAGGGTCTCATTCTGTCACCCAAGTTGGAGTGCAGTGGCATGATCTCAGCTCACTGCAAGCTCCGCCTCCCAGTTTCTCCCCCACCTCAGCCTCCCAGGCAGCTGGGATTACTGGCACCTACCACCATGCCCAGGTAATTTTTGTATTTTCACAGACAGGGTTTCAGCATGTTGGCCAGGCTGGTCTCAAACTCCTCACCTCAAGTAATCTGCCCGCCTTGGCCTTCCAAAGTGCTGGGATTACGGGTTTGAGTCACTGTGCCCAGCCTCTTTCTTCTGTCACCCAGGCTGGAGTTCAGTGGCATGATCATAGCTTACTGCAGCCTCAAGCTCCTGGGCTCAAGTGATCCTCCCGCCTCAGACCCCCAAGTAGCTGGAACTACAGGCTTGTGCCACTGTGCCTGGCTAATTTTAAACTTTTTTTGCAGAGAGGGGCTCTTACTATGTTGCCCAAGCTGGTCTTGAACTCCTGGCCTCAAGCAATCCTCCCATCTCGGCTTCCCAAAGCACTGGGATTACAGATGTGGGCCATGACGCCCGGTCACCCTTGTTTCTTTATTGTCTATTCAGGAATTTGTGTCTCTTTGGTTCCCTACTGACCCCTCTCTTATGCAGCACCTGGCACATATGCATGCCTCGTAAGTACGTGTTGAATGAATAATTGAAAGCTCTATTGACTGCACCTGACATTTATCTCAAATCCATCCCTTTATCATCATGTCCATGGCCACCACCCAAATCCAAGCTACCAACATCCCTCTCCTTATAGACTGCAATAGTGTCTTTTTTTTTTTTTTTTTGAGACGG